TGCTCCGGTGGGGCGGGGGGTATCCGCAGCAGTTGTTGTTCAAGATTGAGGGCTCAAGAACAGCAGCAACCACAACTACAGCCACAACTACAGCTGCACCTGTAACCAGAAACACTAACAAACTACACATACAACAACAGAAGCGGCACACATCATTTTGAGACAGTTCGCTCCTAACTGCTCGCGTGCCAATCAACCCGCATATCACAAACCCTCGATACCCGCCCTTTTCGTCTTCGGTCGTCCCCCCGTTGAGGGTACATCTTCCTTACCTGCCACGTGAGTTCGGTGCAGCCCCGAACAACGCTTGGAAGGGGGAGGGAGAAAGATGCTTGGCATCGCTCGAAAAAAACCACGCACGAAGTCAAAACAAACACAGGGAATGGACGTCCGAGCGATGGCGAGGATGGAACACCAGAGAAATTCACAGGAGGGGGACTACGAGCAGAAAGCGCGCAGTAGAACCAGACGGGCAGATCGGGCGGGCAGGCCTTGCGGGCGGGTTGGGGAAGCGGGCCCACGCGGCCAGGTCGAGCACGCGGGTCGCTGAAGCGTGAGTCTTGCATGCGTGATCGCGGGACAGTTTCTTCAGTAGAGCGCGATTCACAAGCAAGTCGGAAGAAGCCACAACGAGAGCGTGATTGTTGAGTTTCGAGGGCGCGCCGTTTGAACCGGTTGCGAGGAAGTCTTCCTGCATGATTTGTGAGGAGATCCCGCGCGAGGCCACGATCTAAACCGTACATTGTGACGGAATATCAGGCGGGGGCCGTTGTTGTTGTAGCCGGGGGGCCCAGGGATACAGTTCTAGCAGCAAGGTGTTGCCAGGTAAACATAATACAGAGTGCGAGCCCCGAAGGGAGCATTTCAATTGGAAAATACACTGTGCACCTGCGGGGGGATTATCGGTCACTACTCGTCAAAAGTGAGATCCCAACAAAATCATCACCATTCATTATAATGCTGTTCGATAGTGCCTGCTCGCGTGCCGCTCAACACGTATAGCACAATTCCTTTATCCGCACTTCGTCTTCGATCGCGCCCCTTCTTTGGGGTATATCGTTCCAACCTGCCTCAGTGTAGCTGGCGCAGCCCCTGAAACAGGGAAGGGCGGGGAGGATTGATGAGACAAGGGGGAGGGAGAAAGATGGAACACGCGAGACATTTGCAGGAGGAGGGTTAGGGGCAAAGCCGCAAACAGCAAAACCAACCTGGCGTGCTGGGCGGGGGGACCCTTACGGGCGGGTCGGGAGGGCGGGCCAAGACGGCCAGGTCGAGCGGGCGGGTCGCTAAAACGTCAACCTGGCATGCAGGAAGATTCGGACGATAGCGCGCTTTCCAAGCACACCGCGAGGGAATTCAAAGCGAGCGCATGATTCTTGAGTCTATGGGGCGCGGTGCCGCAATACATTTTCAAAACAATGCCACGCGAGAGCGCGATTCTGGGATACATGATGAGAAACTTCCGCGCGAGAGCGCGAAATTGAGTGAGGAGGTATCAGACGAGAACCATTTTTGTTGTAACCGGGGGCGGGGGCGCAGTTTGGTGACCACAGACGTTGCGCTGATAGAAAACAACCGGTGCGAGCTGCGGGAAGGGCAGTTTACTTGACAATCGTTGTTTGACATTGACATTCAACAACAGCAACAATCACAACGGCAGTACCAACAACGACCACAACAACCACAACAGCAGCAACAACAACAACAACACTAACAACAACAGCAGCAACAACAGCAGCAACAACAGCACTATTCAGTTTGATACCGTTCGCTCCTATCTGCTCGCGTGCCACTCGCCACGTATATCCCGAACCCTCGGTACCCGCCTTCTTCGTTTTTCGATCGAGCACCTTTTGTTGGGGTGTATGTTCCTGTCGCGCGCAGTTAGCGCAGGCCCGGAAACAAGGGCAGCGAGGGCGTGTGGAAGGAGAGTGGGAGGGCCGGAGCACGAGAGAAATCAGCAGGAGGGGGGTCGGGCGCAGAGATCGAGCTGGTAGACCCTGGCGGGCGGGCCCGGAAGGTGGGCCCACGCAGCCAGGTCGAGTTCAGTCGGGGCGCTGAAGAAGGAACCCTTTTCGTTGGGGAGGGGCTCCGCGTTCCTTAATTGTTTCGCAGGTTGCCTCAGGTTTTTCTTATGTTTACGATCGGAAATCGAAGCTTAGCTTATGGAAAAAAGGGGCCTCGTTCCTTATTTTGGATTCCTTAGGTCAAGGCCTCGACTGTAGGTCGGTTGCTGAAGCGTGGGTCCTGCATGAATCGCGAGCGAGAGCGATTCCGATGTCAGTCGTGCGAAAGGCCAGGACGAGAGCGCGAGTGCGGAGTGTCGAGGGCGCGGCGTCTGAAGACATGGCGAGGAGGTCCCACGTGGGAGCGCGATTTTTTGCATGCGCTGTGAGGAGGTCCCGCGCGAGAGCGCTGTCTTGAAGCACATTCTGTGTCAGTATCGGGCGGGAGCCGTTGTTGTTCTATGTCGGGGGCCAGGGGCCCGATCTGAGCATCTGGGCCCCAGTCTGGGCCTCGGGCCACCACTGGCGCGCTCCGCGTGCCAGGGGCGGCCCGGGAGCCCGCGGCGGCGACCCCGTCGTCCTCGTCGTCGTCGTCGTCGCCCTTCTCCTCATCCTCCTCCTCCTCCTGATCCCCCTCTCGTCTTCCCTCTTCCTTCCTCCTCTTCCTCCTCCTCCTCTGCCTCCCGCTCCCGAGACCGAGAAGCTCCTCCGATCCAAGTTGTTTTCCAAACATGTTCCGATGCTTTCTTCAAGATGCCCCGAAATCAGCCAGTTCAGTTTTAAAGCATCTCCCAGGGGCCCTCATGTTTCCCACAGGTGCTCCGGGGTTCTGAAGCTTTTTCTGGGAGGCTCTGGGACTCTCCAAGGGGCTCCAGGGGTTGTCCCAGGTGATCCAGGGCTCTCCCAGAGGTTGCGGGGTCTCTCACAAGTTTTCGGTCTACTCGGGCGTGGTGATACCTCGACGCAAGGCATGGGCAGGGCGATTGCAAAGGCGATGTGCCATACAGGCTGGAGATGTTGAAGTGCCTCGGAAGAGGTGTTGTCAGGACCTCATGGGGCGGGAAATCTGGGCAAGGGAATATCGGATCCCCTTGTGCAAGGAATGATCCCCCGTGAGGGGGAGTTGTCATGATGGATGCATGCTGCATCTAGGATCATGGAGCCTTCGGGTAAAACGATGTGTTGCTGCTGCTGTCGTCCTTGATGCCAGTCTGTCGTATTGAGGCATTCGCGCTGGGGGAGTCGCTACTTTCGGCCCTTATAGGGGGCCCTGGCAGGGCCCCAGGACATCACACAAGATCGTTCACTCGTGAAGAGGTCGAGAAATTTGGGGCCCCGCATCAAAGAAATTTGGGTTCCAAGGTCGCTACAGTCGAGGCGTTGACCTGAGGAACCCTAAGTAAGGAACGAGGCCCCTTTTTCCCATAAGTTCAACCTCGATTTCCTATGGAAGCCCTCAGGAAGACCCGAGGCAAACTTTGAAACAATCAAGGAACACCGAGCCCCTCTCCAGCGAAAAGGGTTCCTTCTTCAGCGCCCCGACTGTACTGTTCTCGGAGGGTCACGGTCGTTGGGCCAGCCATCGCCGCCGATCCGCGTCGTCGGCCCTCGATCGTCGTCGCCGGCGACGTCGTTTGTCGTCATCGACGGCGCTGTCGTCGTCTGTCGTCCGACCCAGCCAGGGCTCGTTTCGATTACTCCGATTCGATTCGATTCGACTTCGATGGTTTCCAACTCCGACTTGATTCGACTTGAGATTCCAATCTGGGCTCCGACTTCTCATTGGAGGCCTACCTGCCTGGCTGCCGATTTCGACTTTTCGCGATTCGGCTGCCGATCTCCGCCGATCCGATTGATTTCGATCGCCGATCCGACTTCTCGATTCGATTCTGAGCTCTCTTGCCCAGCTCCGCTCAGAACCGTTATGTTCCCCGGGCACTCCTCGCGGGAACCGTCCCGGCCAGGTCTCTGCGAACTGCCACAGCGGCCGTGGCGACGAGCGGCGGCGAGCGAGTGGGGGAAGTGAGAATGAACAGGTCTCAGCAGGCGGCAGGACTTCTCAGATGCCAGATGCCCATGCGCTCGCGCCTTCCGTTTTTGGGGTCTTCGGCGAAGGCCGGGGGGCTTCCAAGCTTTTTGACAAGGCCTTCTCCTCCTCAGATCCCCCCAGGCTTAAGTCGGGCTTGTCCCCCTACAGGGGGATTTTCGACGAAAAATAAAACATACCCCCAAAATACACCAAAAAGGTCAAAACATATTCAAAACATAGTCCTCAGAGTATGTTTGGACTATTTTTGGATTATTTTTTGTGTATTTTCTATTTTTCGTCGAAAATCCCCCCTGTAGGGGGACAGGCCCGACTTAACCCCGGGCTCGCCACCGAGACGAGAGCCTCGAACGTATCCTTATCCCTAAGATTGACACGCCAAAAGGCGATGACAATCTTAGGGATTCGCCCTCAAAAAGTAAGGGAACCCCTAAGACTGGCATCGAGAGGAGGAGATGCCCAGCATAGGGATAGGGATACGTTCCAGGCTGGTAAGATCCCCCCAGGCTCGCCACCGAGACGAGAGCCTCCAGGCACGCCCGGCGGAGAGCCCCACGACACGTCGACTCTGACTGCGCCGGCCCTGCCGCCTCCGCCGCCGGCGACCTTCGCCGCCCCGCGGCGCCGCGGCCGCCAGGCCTGGCCTCAAGGCTTGCCATCTCCAGAGGGAGCGTTCCAGAGATGGCCCTGCTTTCGAGGATGGGGCGTTCCAGAGATGGCCTTGCTTTCGAGGATCGAAAGGGGTTGCTATCTGTTCCTCGGCGGGAGGTCGGCAGAAGTACAACGAGGCCGCTGCCGCGGGCGGAAGCCGGCGGGAGTAACATTCGGCGGCCTCCGAAGAGATGTCAAGGTTTTGTTGGTTCAGGGTGTCCGGAACCCGCCAGGGGCAAGCTTGGGCGAAGCTCTTGAAACGAAGATAGGAAGAACGCTTGTGAAGCTTGCGAAGAATGCTTGAGAGCCCTGGCGAGTCGCCCGCGCACACCGACGGAGCTGCCGCTGCATCCCCCGTCGTCGTCGACGCCCGCGCCGCCGCCGCCGCCCAGCGTCGCCGCCGCGTCGCTCGGAGGAGCGAGTCCGCCTCGTGGGACCTCTCCGACGTGCTCCGGGCGTCCGCGGGCCGTCCCCGCGCGCGCCTTTCTCCGCCTCCGCCGCCGCTGCGCCGCCTTGTCCGTAGGCTGCCAAGATTTCACAGGATGATCCTGGGAGCTTTTCGTTGAGACTCAGTCTGGCTTTCCTGCGCCTCCAGAGGTTCGAAGTCGTTTTTGCTGGCGCCACTGGAGGCCACGGGGGGGGCCACTGGAGACGCCACTGGATGCCGCTCGAGGCTCGCGGGGGGTGACCACGAAGGAGCGTCTCCAGAACCAGATGGCGGCCTTCTCGTGCGTCTTGGGCCGTCTGGGAGCTATCATGGGGGCCTCTGGGAACGTCTTGGACCGTGGGTGGACCGGAAAGGCGAGAACACGACAGTCTTTTCAGAGCCGAGGAGAATGGGTGATGTTGGCATCGCTGTCGGGTCGGAGGATCGCGCCGCATCGCCGACGCATCGGCGATGCGGCTCGATGTGCAGCCAGGTTTCATCCACGCCGACGTCGCCGATGCATCGGCGATGCATTGGGGGTGTGGCGCGATCCTCCGACCCCGTCGACTGGGTCCGCATCTCGGGGGTCTCTCCTCTTCGTCGTCGCCTCCGTTTCCATCGACGTCGTCACCGCCGCCGCCAGTGTCGTCGTCCTCGTCTTCTTCGTCCTCGTCCTCGTCATCTGTCGGCAAGTGCCGAGGCCTTAGACGGCTTTGGTCGTCTCTGTTTGCCGCCGCCGCCGCCGCTATCGTCGTCGTCGTCGTCTTCGCCGTCGTCGTCGTCGTCGTCGTTGTCGACGTCTTCGTCGCAGTCGGCGCCGCGCTCGCTGGGCGGAAGCAGTCCAGACCTCCAGGGGTCTACGTCGCGACAAAATACTACGTTGGGGGTCTTGGTCGGCGATCCTTAGTACGTGTGTTAGCCCTTTACGTGTTTGCCCTGTTCAGCCCCCCCGATGGCACGAAGGCTATGTCGACCGTCAGAACACCAACTGCGTCGTACTGAAGAGCTTCGGTCACAAATGCACGCAGGTACGGTACCAACGCACGTTCTGAGGATCATCGGTTGGGAAATCGAGGGTCGTTGGTTCGTCTCAGTCTTTAGATCCTCGGAGGGCTACCCTGGAGACAGTGGCCTCTGGAAACTTCCCTGTCCTGGGTTGGATTGGTACACATCGGTTGTTGAAAGTACGGTTTTCAGCACTCCCCGCCTCCAATCTACTCTGGGCGCCATCATACCTCAATCGTCGAGTGTTTTTCCCTTATCTCTCCTGTTCACAGGGCGGGCGGGAAATTTCTCCGAGCGAGGGGCACTTCTGAGGGAGAAGGGTCTCGATGCTTTTGTTCGCTCTGGGTCTCCCGGTGCCGCTTTGAGAACGACTCACGGTTGAAATTCTTATTGCCATGGGGGAAGCGTGTCTTGAGGGGAACGGGCCCTGAGTTTTTTCGCCGTTTTCGGGCTCTCGGGGCCGTCCACGGGCCTCGGGACTGTCACAAAAAGACTCGGGGTGAAGATCTCGTACTGAGGGAAGGCCCCGGGCTCCAGGACCCGTTTGCCTCGGGACCCGCTTCCCCCATGCTAGATTACAGTCCGCGCAAGTAGCTGGCACATTCACCACGGACCTCCAGGGAGGCCAGGGAGGTGCATCCCTCGACAGGCCTCTGTGCTGGTCCGCGGAAGAGCCGCAGGGTTCATGGCCCGTATCCCTCAGGGCCCGTCTCCCGCGTGCCAGGGGAGGGGGAGTCCTTCCAGGAGGCGGATGGAAAGACGATGGTAGCGAGAGGAGAGGAGGAGAGGGGACGCTCGAGGGAACGCTGACATGAATTCAGGCGCGTGGGTGACTGAGTATTGGCTCCAGTTCCACACGAGATCGGAATCGGCGCGCGCCGTCACCAAATGAGGCGGCATCGGCCTCATGTGTCGGAGGCACCCTGCGCGTGCCACGGGAGGGGGCGTTCTTCCGGGGGGGGGCGGAGGGAGAGACGAGGGCAGCGAGAGGAGGAGACGGGACGTTCGAGGGAAGCCTAACACGGATCCAGGCGCGTGGGTGGGTAATGGGTCCCGGTTCCACGCGAGGTCGACATGGGCGCGCGCCGTCGCCGAATGAGGCGGCCTCGGCCTCATGTGTCGGAGGTACCTTCCCCGATCTATGGATCTGGCAACCACGCGCCAGATTAGAGTCGGGCCTGTCCCCCTACAGGAGGAGTGATCAAAATAGTTAGGGACGATTTGTTTTGTATTTTCTGGCATTTGTTGAATCTGTTTTGACTCTTTTTTGCCTGTCGTCCAAAATCCGCCTGTATGAGGACACGCCCGACCCAACGCGAGATCTACGGATGACTCATCCATGTTAGCGTGCGCCTCAGATTTGAGGAGGATAGAGGAAGGAGTTCTAGGAGAGGTGAATGGGCGAGAAAAAAGAGGCGGGATTGAGTCGTAAACAATTTCGAGCGGCGGCCTGGCTGGCGTCGTCGACCAAGTTTCGATTGAAGGCGTCTTTCGGTGGCGAACCTCACGGGGAAGTGAGACGGGGCGGGCCTTGTCAGAAGGCTCGTAAGCCCTTTGGGCCTTCTGATCAGCTGTCGAAACTTTTCCCGAAAACACAGTAAACATCGTATAAGGCCAGATGGCTTCTCAGAAGGCCCGTCGCCTTCGCAGAAGGCTTTCTTCTTCACAGCCACACAATACGAATACTACACCACATTCGGTGCCGATTGCTTCATTTTTGGCGCCGCAAAAGCCCGCCCCCAGTTTGGGGCGTCATCGCTTTTTGAAATATCAAGCGGGAGCCCCGTCTCTGCTTCGATAAGGCGATATTGGAAGCTGATCCATCGGTTGCTCTCCATCAGCCCCGCCTTGTGTTGAGCTTTTCGGGGGGCCCAGGGAGCTAGACATGGAGCCACGACTCCAGACCGGCCCAGACCCCTCGAAGACGATCCACTTACCCCCCAAGGAACCCGGCGCCATGCCACGGCAATTTGTGCGGTGTTGTGTTCTGCGCTGTTGTGCGATGCCATGCTCTACGTTGCAATACGTTGTGATGCAATGCTTCAGTGCGCACGGCCACCATACAATGGCATGCCCGCGTGCTCCACCATGCATCGTGCACTCTCTTGCGACCGTTGCCCTGTTCGACATTCGACTGTGCGGAGAGGGGGGAATATTCACGCTATGTTTAGGGACGGGGGGCAAAGGTAAGGCGTCAAATATGACGCGAGCGGCCCTAACTTGTCGCTCCCCCCCTCGCTCTCCGCCAAGTCGCGGTCGCCGTCGCAAAAAGAGGCGCCCAGTTCCTGCTTCGCTTCCTGGGGCCCCTGCTTCTGCACTGGCGCCCTCGCGGGACCCTACCCCGAGGCATGTGCCAAGCGGGTTCCCCCGGGCATTTGTCATACTTTGGCGGCGAGCGACGGGCCGCAAGGACAAGGAAAAACCTTGTTCAGAAAACGGTGGGTTTTTTTTTTCAGAAACCGCGGGCCTTGTGAGAAGTTGCCTGCGTCTGTCGGGAAGGCTTTACGGCCGCGGGGCTCCCGAACCATCTGTCATGGCATGGTCTCAGTACTGCGCCGGTGTCCGCGGAAACCAACATCAGTTGCCTCACCGATGTGATGGGCGAGGCCATGACTTTGCATGGGGACGCTCCGGCTTTGCAGCAGGAGCAAGGATCGATCGAGGGCGTGACGACGACCGTCATCAGGGAATCGATCGGCACGCACAGCCTAGAAGCAGTCGGCCCGACGTATCAGACGGACAACGACCCAGAAGTGCTCGATATTCCACATCGGCCTGGACATTTTTCGCGGCCGACGGCGGTTTGCAGGCGCCCGGCCAGCGCCGCATTGCGCATGGGGGCCGCGCGCGGCTACGTGCAGAGTGGTGCCGCGTTCTGATACGTGAACGATTCAGCGCCGAGCCCTCGCCTTCGAAGGTCAAAAAGAGAATCGCCGATTTCAAAGTTTGGATCTGTACGCGGCTGCATGGCACATAACGGAAAAAAACATCGACAGTCACCCTACATTCGATTTTCTGACATGTGATTTACGACCCGCTTTAGACGACGACGCCTGAGGATTGATATGTGCGCGTGCCTATCATGCGATCATAAACGCATTCGCAGCGTACGCATAACACGGTTACTAAACACACAGTGTCGCATCCGGCCCCCAATTTACATGCGCAGGGTGACGCCAACACGCGGCGCGCTAGAGGACTTCAGGAGACACGTTGCACGCGTTAGCCTGTCACAGCAGCGTCAAGTAGGACAGTTGATCCATCCTTTCGTATCAGCAGGTCGCCAGTGAGTTTTGGGCACGCGTATTTACGCTGACGTTTGCTGAGCATGTAGTACATTAGCGTGGCAAGGCAGGGCAGCTAGCAGACTGGCGCATGCAGTCGCGTAGAACGATGGTGGTGGTGTGTGTGTGTGTGTGTGGGGGGGGGGGTCTTTGGTGGGGCAGGCATTTGGCACCGATCGCTCATGTCACGGCGACGCAGTACTCGGCGCTCGCACGAGCGCAGACACGCAAGTGCAACGTCGCGTCATCCCATCATTAAACGGCGCTGTGAGGCGTGCGGCGACTGGCACAGATAATATCAAGGTCATACAGGACACAGTTGTCGCTGATCATCCAGTAGGTTGCACGCGGGGAGCCCCGCTGCCATAGAGGGCTGCCAATTCAACGACGAAGCTGCAGCGGCAACCAATTGTTTTATGTCATTCTCGGACGCCAGTGCCGACAATGTATTGCTACTCTCCGAATTCAATCTTGACTGCAGTCAGGGGCCCACCGCCGATTCGCGAACTACGAGGCAAAGAAAATACCCGAACATTGGCGATGCAGTTGGCCGACAAGTTTTGCCATGTCAGTTTCTGCCCCCCACCCTCGTTGGCCGCGTCTGGCATTTCCTTTTCGGTACTGTCCGTGGGGAAATGGCGCGCGATCTCTGCGGTCACCCAGCTTCGATGGGTGGCCAAAGTTTGCGCGCCTTCGCGCCGCTGGCGCCGCGCCCTTCAAGGGCGCTCGAATGTTGTCGCGCGCGGCCG